CAAACGTACATGAGGCACCATTTTAAACTCTTTTAACTCAAGTTTAAAAGCTCCTAAAAATATAACAGTGGTGTTAAAATGTTTTATGCTGTTCTGTGTTCAGGAAATTATTGTATTCTTTTATATAAAAACGTTTAAGCATTTATAAACTATGATTTTGCTCAAATGCTCCATATTAACCCTTTCATTTTGGACTCGCTCGGGAGCGCCCTCTAATGTTTGAGAAACCTGGAAGGCATCACAGAGTGGTAATTCTCCTCTCTACAAATTCTCTGACTGCATCCCTGTCCCTCACGGCCACATGGTGAACAGTTAGATCACATTGTTTTGAAGTAAATGTGTCCCAAATTCTGAAAATCAGTGTGGAACATTCAGAATTGAAACACATTTTCTGCCATTAATAAACTTTTTTGTGTTTCAATAAAGACATGATGATTTTATGTGTGTACAACTGTTCAAAGCTGTGTTTGCGAGTCATGTACTGGCATTTATAGTGATGAAGGCTTTGCAAGAATGAAGAAGAGTAAACCAGGCAGAATGAATGATACTGTGCGGTTTGAAATCACAGTATGGTACATATTGGTGGCAGATTCTTAAGGCAAATTCCTCTCCATCAATGTGCTTTTTTTATTGGTATAAAACTCAAACTGCCCACAGACAGTGATGAGATCTAATTTTAGATTCTGGTGTTTAATGTAGCTGAACATCTCTTAGATTCTGGAGATTTAAAGTCAGTGGTCAGCAACCTGAAGGAATCTATAGCTGCTTCACACTTCCCAACACTGTAACCATCATCACAGTGTGCCTGATTGTGTTGTGTATAGGTAAACAAAGAGGTCTTTAACAGCCTGAATTCCATTTTAGTTTACATTAGCATTAACCCATAAATCTCTTTAGAGGCTTCCTCTCTGCGGTATCCAACAATGCCTAATGGGAAAATGGGGTAAATAAATAGGTGTACTAGGGGGAAAAGAGGGGAGTTAAATAAACATTGAGGGAATGAGGAACAGGGGTGGAGAATCAGCCAATCACCCAGTCACTCCCTCAGTTTCCACCATAAATCACACTGTGACTTTGAAAGGTTGTTGTTTTCTTTTTTTAATCAGGAAATTGCACTGCTGTGAGTTCATTCATGTTCCCTCATCCGCATTCTCCTGATTCTAATTAGAAAAAAAACTGTGCAACCTTCAGGTACCAAATGCACATAGATCACATACAGGTAGAGCAGGGGTATTCAATTCTGGACCTGAAGGGCCAGTGTCCGGCGCAGTTTGCTGATTCCCCTGATCAAACCCAAATAAATCTAGCATTCAACAGAGAAGTTGAATCAGCCCAGGAGTCTCTGATACAAAGGGGAAGGCTAGGTCAACAGCTAACTTAGAGAGCTATGTTAGCATAACAGGTTCTAATGCCAGCGTATTCACAACGCACTGCTCTGTGTGCTGCCACATGGATTCACTCTACATCTCTTACTTTGAGAGCAGTCTGGAAAACAAAAAATGAGTTGCATGGCTAAATACGGTATAAATAAGGTGTAGAAGTTGCTATGCAGTGCTGTGTAAGATGTTTGTGACACGCAATACACAAAGGCTGCGTCCAGAAATACTGAAAGTTACTGCTTTTTGCTACCTCTGCTCTGTTTTCTGGAAACTGATAAATGATGCCATCTTACTGGCTGTATGAATATCAGAGCAGGCCAGAGAAGCTGCTTCAAAACACCCACCAAAGCGGAGGCTACACCAATGCATCCTACCCAGGAAGACTTTTTTAGAGTTTAGGGTGATATTACTGCAGACAGGCCCAGAGAGGACGTACATACATTTGGCAATCCCACAATATTTTAAACTCAGTGTCTTATTTGGGTTTATATATTTATCTATGTTGGGTATTTTGTATTTGGTGTAAAATAAAATCACAAAATGTGAAAAGGCCGACTCTGTGTTGCAACTTATGGCGTGCTTTAAAGCAAATGTTGTGATAGGCTCATTTCATCAACAGTTGACATCAAGAGTCAACTGTCCCAACTGAAACATAAAGGAACAATGTGGAAATGAGTGACATCTAGTGTCTGTAAGTGTATATTGCACTGATGAGGCTTTGCAACTGAAGCTCATGTTAAAAAAGAAATCATTGTCTATTATATCAATAAAGGAAACCACTAAACTACAGTTTTTCCACATATTACTCTGTTAATTAGAATAAATCGACAGTGTTACCAATAGGTGACTGGAACTGGAATGCTGCACTCCAAAACTACCCCTTAAGTATTATATATTGAATTGAACCTTAAGCCAACTGTGTTTGAACACATTGGAGTTAGACCTCCGCATTTAACCCATCCGTGCAGTGAAACACCCACATACATGCACACTAGTGAACACACACACACACTGGGGGCAGTGAGCACACCTGCCCGGAGTAGTGAGTGGGCAGCCCTGTCTGAAGTGCCATAACTTCAGGGAATTACAATTCCCAGAAGCCCTTGGGCTAATTAGGCCCAACCTGACACACCTGTGGACTCCTCTACTTAAGGCCGCGGCAAACAGCAGCACTTTGTCACACCTCGTCTTGCTTTTCTCTTTATTTGTTTGCCTTGTAAACTCGTTATCAATATAAAAAAAGAATTTAAAAAAAGCAATTAATGAACAATAGAGGCACCTGGTGGTCAAATTAAATAAGTGCAACTATTACTACACTGTGTCTTTGTGCGGGGGATCAAAATCTCAGTCCTATCACCCGCACTATGTACACTGTTGTGTTTCACGTTATCCAGCTCACCTCATTAAACATAAATCCACCTCAACTCATTAAACTAATGATCAAGCCCTTCATTGGCTGGGTCGGGTGTGTAGAGTAGGGAAAAAAGCAGAGCTTGGGGTTGCGAGCTGCTGTCCAAGTGGATGGTGCAGCAGATGTTCAGGCTAAAATGGATCAAACTGGCTCTGCCCAAAAATTATAAGACTGGGACATCTAAAGACATTGGTGATGGGGGTTTGGGGGAAAGACTGTGCTTTTCCACAGCAGCCACACATTCACAGCACAAAAGGTTCAGCTATTTAGTAAATCTGTGTGGTGTGCTATTTTTTTTCTTTTCTTTTGTTGTTTTGTATGTTTGTTTTTTTGTTTTTTGTTTTTTTTTCTACTGTTGGATCATCCCTCTATGTGTGTGTGCATCCACAAATATTGTCACCTCTGGTATTCATGAGTAGAATGAGCTGTAAAAAATATTCTTAATTATTTATTCTTTTGATCTTTCATTCAAAATATTATAAAAAAAACTTTATTTAATGTATAATGATTGAAAGAAAACACTACATCTTGTCATGAAATAAATATTTTTCTTAAATCTATGTGAAATACGAAATTTTGAGGTGAAATTATAGAAGTTTAAGTTCACCTGAGTGATTAGGAACATTTAAATGGTCAACCATAACCTCCTGTTTCATTGGGTTAAAAAATAAATTCCAAATAAATTCTCACCTATATTTATGAGAAAGACCGGAGAAAACAGCAGTGATATGCGACAAAAAGTTGTTGAGCTGCGCAAATCAAGCTATAAGAAAAAAGTTACAGTTGAAAATGCCCATTTCCACCATCAGAGCTATAATTAAGAAGTTGGGGAATTGCAGACATTATTTAGGTCCTGGGGTCAGAAAGTCTCAAACCATAATCAAACACCACCTGTATAACCACAAGTTTTTGGGAGGGTTGCCAGAAGGAGGCCTCTGCTGTCAAGTCCCAATAAACTCAAGCTGCTACAGTTTGCCAAACATTACTAGAACTTTCAGTGGGAGCATGTTCATGTTTTTTTTTTTAACACTAGAGGGCGATATCCATCCACAGCTAAACCTACCTCCATCAGTTTGTTCAACAAAGCAGTGGTGTCACCTGGATTTGGGCTCTCAAACTACCCAGGTGTCACCCGCCAGTTAGTCTTTTCCAAAAGAGACAGGCTGAAAAAAGTGTCCTATTTTTTCAGGTATGAATTTTAAATACAGACGACAGGTTTTTTACGTAATGCTGTGAACTGAAATAGGGGAAGAAAATGTCCCATTTCTTCCACATATGTATAGTAGTAGTAGCAGTAGTATTAGTAATAATAGTCATAGTATTAGTATTATGTGAACTCTGATGTGCTAGTTACCCATGCCATTGGCACTAATACACGCCCGTACCATGGTGCAAAAGTTCCAAAACATTTGTTTTTGATCATTCCACAAACTTCCTGTCCCAACTTTTCTGGAATGGGTTATATCATCAAATCTGGAGTATAAATACCTGTAGAAGACACTGGTTTCCATTTTTAGTTGTGTTTTATCCAGTGTACCAATGCTTTTGGAACTGGGTTTGTATTTCATTACACTACATTTATTTCAGATCCATATCAACACATTTCTGTTGAGAGTAAAATAAGTTTATTCCTACAAGCTTGCAGTGGCAGTGGGGGTCATCTCAGAGATTACACTATCGATTGCTTTGCCAGTGCAGAAATTATCCTGTAAAACAGTGTGTGAATCCGTTTACTGACACACTTTTCTCTTCCCTTTTTCCTCAGTTCAGTTTTCAGTTCAGCTCAGCTCAATACTCCTGTGCTCAGATATAGACCAAGAGGACTTACATGGTAGGGAAAAGTATCACTCTGACTGATTACACTGCCACAGTTCGCATATCTACTTTACTACTACTGTGATTCGAGTTTGTTCTGTCCCCGAGGCTTTTGAGAGATCAGTGACAGATTTGTTGATACACTCTCTTACTGGTACACATAGAGAGCATTCAATGAAAAATGCACTCCTGCCAACACGTTTATCCAATTCAACTAGTCAGAAATCAAGCTGAGCAATAGCACACAGTGTTTCATTGATCATAATACTAGATTTGATACTCAAGAATCCTGAAGAACAAGTTGTGCAGGAATGTGTTTGACTGTCACACTCGTGTTGCTGCTCTGCGAAAACGTGACATGACCAAAGAATATGAAAGCTAAACATACACAGTGAGTGAGTGAAGTAATGATCCTGCTGGATGATTTACCTGAGATAGTACTCAGCTCTCACTCATGTTTGAGTTTGTTTCCTCTGCGCCGATCAGAATGAAGCTGTGTTTGGTCCTCGTCTGGTCAGTTCTTCTCTCCACAGAGGCTAAAAGTGAGTAAGAGTGAATTTCAGTATTTAATCATGAGCTGAACTGCTGGGCTGTAATTGTTGTATTGCTTGTGTAAAATCTGTAGATTCAGGCTTATAAATCTTTCTGTGTAAATGGCTCCATGTGCTGCTTCCACACACTGTCCACTAACTCTGTGGATTAATGGCCATGTTTAGTGTGTAAGTGTTTGGTACATGCAGGCTTCTCCCTTTTTGTCCCAGTTAATGGTCTGGTGGTCTGTAGTCCAGGAGAAAGTCAGTGCAGCCTTTCCTCTGCAGTGCACATATTTAGTCATCACTTTGTACCATTTCACTTCAGCTGAGCTTGTTCACCACTGTGCTGTGGCTCCATGTGAAACTACAATATATAGGAATCAAGTGCTCTACAATTTTTTATTTTTTTTATTTTTTTTTTGGACTGCTCTGCTGCATTACTTGAAACTGTGGTTCACAGTTAAAAAAAAGTATTCAGACTTAGATATTTAAAAGGTTTATGTTATGATATATGTAAACCCAGGTTATTAGTAGGAGATATTAATAAGCAAAATTTATACAATATCATCATGTATAGGGTATTTTCTGTTGGGAGGTGTCTGTCCTAAACCCATAAATTTACACTTGTGAAAATACTTTTTCATTGTTTTTATGACTGTTTTTTTCTTTTACAGCTAAGCTGAAAGATTTCAATTTATCCCAAGTTAAATTTTTTAATAATAAAAAAACACAACAACAACTTCATATGTCCCATGTTTTCATGTCACTATCGAAGCACAGAGTTTTAGTATGTAGGCGGAGCCTTGTTTTAGCTACGCCCCTGCAGGAAGTGAGGCTGCATCCCTGTCCCTCATGGCCACATGGTGAGCAGTTAGATCACATTGTTTTGAAGTAAATGAGTCCCAAAGTCTGAAAATCAGTGTGGAACATTAAGAATTGTCAGTACCAAAACGCAGACCTTCTGCAATTAAGTAAAAGTAAGTGTGGTGCTGGTACGAGTAGATCAGACACAGCAGTGCTGCTGGAGTTTCTAAACACTGGGTCCACTCACTGTCCACTCTATTAGACACTCCTACCTTGTCAGTCCACCTTGTAGATGTAAAGTCAGAGACGATAGCTCATCTGCTGCTGCACAGTTTGTGTTGGTCATCCTCTAGTCCTTCATCAGTGGTCACAGGACGCTGCCCACTGGACGCTGTTGGCTGGATATTTTTGGTTGGTGGACTGTTCTCAGTCCAGCAGTGACACTGAGGTGTTTAAAAACTCCAGCAGCACTGCTTTGTCTGATCCACTCGTACCAGCACAACACACACTAACACACCACCACGTCAGTGTTACTGCAGTGCTGAGAATGATCCACCACCCAAATAGTACCTGCTCTGTGAGGGTCCATGGGGGTCCTGACCACTGAAGAACAGGGTAAAAGGGGGCTAACAAAGTATGCAGAGAAACAGATGGACTACAGTCTGTAACTGTAGAACTACAAAGTGCACCTATATAGTAAGTGGAGCTGATAAAATGGACAATGAGCATAGAAACAAGGAGGTGGTCATAATGTTATCGGTGTGTGTATATATATATATATATATGACATATGGTAACAATTGATCAACATATAATAAAACATAAGGACAATAAACAAAGCAGCATGTTGGACTGTCTGCTTAGACGTTCTTCTCCCTTCTCTCTTCCACAGTCATTCACAGGGACACCTACACACTCCTGTGCTCTGATACAGATCAGAAGAGTACGTACAGACTGGACAGAGAAGAACTCCTTCACTCTGACCTCAGTAAGGGGACAGGAACGCTGACCATACCGCAGTTTGCAGATCTTTTGACCGATGAAGAAGCCAAAGACAATAGAGTTACTCTAATGGACAACTGCAAAAAACACTTGGCTGAATGTGTGACAGCTTACAAAAACCCTGCGGAGCCAAAGGGTAAGACATGAGCATCACTGCAACACAGTTATTCACAAGGGTAACGCAGACGCAGGATGATGCGGTGCAAACTGTTCAGCAACACTAATGAATAATATATTAAAAGTCATATTTTGAGACAAAAGTTACAAGTTTAGCTATATGGTAACAGTTTTCAGTATCAGACAGTTTTATTAAAGTGAAATCCTTTTCTTTTTTGTGTGGTCAGAGATCCTTACTGGAGTTGAATATTTGGTCACATGGAAAAAAGCATCTGTGTATCACTTAAAAAGGACGTGATGTTGACTTGTTTAAGAATGAAGTAGATAAATATATACTTTCATTACAGAACCTAATATAGAGTTAAGTACAATATTCTGCCACAATACAAACAAACAGTATAATTTAAAATGACCTTCTGTTGTTATGTAAGGACTGGACATTGAACCTTTCTACATTCAGTACTGAGCAAAAGTCAGACATCATCCTTTTATTTATTTCATTTTCAATTGAAACCTTTAAGTACAAGCCAGATCCAGATCTGGCACCTCCCAGATTGGATCCAGCACCTTGTTTGCAGATTAACTCCAAAAAAAAATAAATAATTCACATAGTAACAAATAGTTGAACTAGACTCATAAATTGCAAGTATTTATTTAGGTTAAAAAAAAATAGTTAATTTACTTGTCACCATCATTTTTTATCATGCCTTTCTACAAGAAAGCAAATGGATGTATTAAAATAGATAACTATATATTTCACTTTGTCATACTGTCTCCATTTGGTAATAATGAACCTGAGTTTGACGAGACCCAGTTGAAATGCTCTAAATGAACCCTAACTGTCGCCACACTCCTCTACTGTCACTCGTCTCATGTGATACAAAACATCCTGAAGACGCATGAAGGACAGGTGTGTAGCCATTGCCTGACCTACCCAAAACAGGGCACAGATTTTTTAATGCTGATTCTTTTAATATAGTCATATTTGATTTGTTTTCTTTGAGAGCTGTCACTGCAATACAGCCAATCAAATTAGTATATATTCCACCAAGCTCCACCTTTCTCAACCCTCCAAATCACTGCACAGCAAGTGTTGCTATCCACCATTCAGCTCATTACCACCGTGCCAGTGTTGGCATTGCTAGTTTTCTGTCATCAGTTTTACTGCAAAAGCTAAAATCTAGCGTAATTTCAGTGAATCAAAGGTAAGACATGAAAGGATCGTACACATTTTTGTGCCCTCCACTGCAATATGTTTTTGTCTTTGATCATAAAGTTTAGTTTTTTTATGTCTGTTGTGTAATTTTTATTGTTTTTCCTCATTTTTATACACCTCAGCTGTCTGATTTTAACTGAACGCTAGTGATGCTGTCTGCATTGGACAAACATACCTGTGGCTAAATTTATACAAAGAAGCAAAAGTAAAAGGAAGTAAATGGTTATAAGTTGCTATAACCATAAGTGTTTTATATTTGTGAGCTGTAGTTATGAGCACATGGCTCGTCATGCTGTATTGATTTATTTATGTATTTATTAATTTTTAAAACTTAAATGACGTTTATCTCTAGATGCCCCCCAAAGCTCAATCTACTCCAAGGACGATGTGAAGCTGGGCACCAATAACACCCTCATCTGTTACATTACTGGATTCTACCCACCAAAAATTGGAGTGTTGTGGAGCAGGAATGATGTCAAAGTAACTGGTGGAGTTAGTTTTAGTAGATTTTATCCAACCAGTGATGGAACCTACAACATGGTCTCTCGTCTGAGCTTCATTCCAGAGAAGGGCGACATCTACACCTGCACTGTGAAGCACGCAGCCCTGGACAGACCACTGACCAAAACATGGGGTGAGATTTATTCTTAGATGTTTGTAAGATTCCGGCACAAGAGTTCAGTCAGAAATAGATGCCTGCATATTATGTATGAAAGTTGCATTGTGCAGCATGTACTTCAAAAAACATATCAATCATATGCATTTGAGGAATTGTGGGAGGGGCTGTTGGAAGTGGGGCTGGTTACATATTCTGAATTTACTATGGTTTTAGGGGCAAATTTGGAATGAAGTGAAATTTCCTTTTGAAACCAGCTGTTAGTTTCCCAGCCAGGGCTATTGGACAATCCTCAACTCTGCGCCTTCAGTGTCTGAGAAATGTTGCTTTATAAATACCCCTCAGGCTTCTACTGAAAAATACTGACTAACAAGATCATACACAACACGCAGAACTCTGAGTTCTAAAGTATTGAACTTCACTATTATCATTTCCCAAATTTGATATTTTTTTGTAGTATTCATCACTGTTTTGCCTCACATTTTAAACCCTGTGCCTCAAAACTGTACAGTTGTAGGCAGTCCTATGGGAAGCTTAGATAAATATCTACAGTCTTAGTGAACTGATACAAACTGCTCACGGACACTGAGGTCCAAAAGTCTGAGACCATGTTAAAAGCCAGAGATTTTGTCATTTAAACCTGGAAATATCCATCAGAAAACCTTAGAATTTGATGATCATATTCATTTCACTGCAGCGTGTGTTCAGGCGACTCTCAGGTGGATCTTATCTGCTCATCAAAATGTTTGTTCATATCTTCTTAAAGTCTCCTTTAAAGCCACTTGAATATAATGTGATCCTCATATGCTTCATATCTAAATGCTCCGTTATCTTCATCACTACTTTCCAAAACCGCTGCAGCAACTTCAGCAGCTGTAAACTCTGCACGCCATTTCACATGAGCCTCCGATGTGGACTGAATGAAGAACGAAGGGTTTCCGGCGTGATGGTCAGTCCTTAGTGATTTCCTGAGTGTCTATTGGTCAGTTTCACACAGAATGTAGATGGACATACGAATCCACCAGTTCTACGTAGTGAGAGGCAGGTGACGTGTATCTCAGGCCCTCTTCATAGGCTCATAACTCCGGATGTGAGTCTCATATGATCTCGTGATGAGATGGAATGGAAAGGGCGACTCTACAGATTCAGGAAATGTTTGAACCATATTTCTGTGCTGTATTTTCACAAAGAGAGAGAAACAGATATAGAAAAATCAAATTTGATGCAAAGGCAAATTCGTGGACCCCAGAGGGTTAAAGCAAAAGTACTGAGAAATTCTAAAATTCATGTGTGTAAAACATTGTGTGTGTTTCCACAGATGTGCAGGTGGCTCTGCCCAGAGTGGGTCCGACTGCGTTCTGTGTAGCGGGTCTGGCTGCAGGGCTGCTGGGAGTCGTTGTTGGAACTTTCTTCCTTGTCAGAGAAAAAAACGCAACTGAGAATCTGACTGTAAACTTTACACAAAACTTATTATGTTTTTCAAAGGTGTGACTTCTTTCACTTTAAGTTAACCTCATTTGTGATGTTAATTGCACTGTCCTTTCTTTCTGTGGCCATCATTTACGTTTTCTTTTTCAGAACAAGTTTGTTCTATAATATAGGGCCTTATTTATTCAGGCCTTTACCAGTTAACTGAACACTTTCCAGGCAGGTGGTCCATCTCAGTAAAAAGAAAAAGCTGGAAAAGCTGATCACAATGTATACAGGGAGATTCACTCAAAAGAGGCCCTGAATATTCTGCTGTAACTCCCGTTAGGGTGAATCAATCTGAACTAAAAAAAATTGCTATGGAGGAACAATGTGGAAATGAGTGACATCTAGTGTCTGTAAGTGTATATTGCACTGATGAGGCTTTGCAACTGAAGCTCATGTTAAAAAAGAAATCATTGTCTATTATATCAATAAAGGAAACCACTAAACTACAGTTTTTCACATATTACTCTGTTAATTAGAACAAATCGACAGTGTTACCAGTAGGTGACTGGAACTGGAATGCTGCACTCCAAAACTACCCCTTAAGTATTATATATTGAATTGAACCTTAAGCCAACTGTGTTTGAACACATTGGAGTTAGACCTCCGCATTTAACCCATCCGTGCAGTGAAACACCCACATACATGCACACTAGTGAACACACACACTGGGGGCAGTGAGCACACCTGCCCGGAGTAGTGAGTGGGCAGCCCTGTCTGTGGCGCCCAGGGAGCAGTTGGGGGTTAGATGCCTTGCTCAAGAGCACTTCAGTCACGTACTGTCAGCGGAGGGGATCGAACCGGCGACCTTCCAGTCACAAGGCTGGTTCCCTAACCTCCAGCCACACATTCACAGCACAAAAGGTTCAGCTATTTAGTAAATCTGTGTGGTGTGCTATTTTTTTTTCTACTGTTGGATCATCCCTCTATGTGTGTGTGCATCCACAAATATTGTCACCCCTGCTATTCATGAGTAGAATGAGCTGTAAAAAATATTCTTAATTATTTATTCTTTTGATCTTTCATTCAAAATATTATTAAAAACTTTATTTAATGTATAATGATTGAAAGAAAACACTACATCTTGTCATGAAATAAATATTTTTCTTAAATCTATGTGAAATAAGAAATTTTGAGGTGAAATTATAGAAGTTTTTAAGGTCACCTGAGTGATTAGGAACATTTAAATGGTCAACCATAACTTCCTGTTTCATTGGGTCAAATATATATACACACACACACACACACACACACACACACACACACACACACACACACACACATATTACTAGAACTTTCAGTGGGAGCATGTTCGTGTTCTGGTGTTTTAAACACCAGAGGGCGATATCCATCCACAGCTAAACCTACCTCCATCAGTTTGTTCAACAAAGCAGTGGTGTCACCTGGATTTGGGCTCTCAAACTACCCAGGTGTCACCCGCCAGTTAGTCTTTTCCAAATGAGACAGGCTGAAAAAAGTGCCCTATTTTATCAAGTATGAATTTTAAATACAGACGACAGGTTTTAACGTAATGCTGTGAACTGAAACAGGGGAAGAAAATGTCCCATTTCTTCCACATATATATTTTATTAGTAGTAGTAGTAGCAGCAGTATTAGTAATAATAGTCGTAGTATTAGTATTATGTGAACTCATTGTCATTCATTGTGCCTTCACAGATGTGCTAGTTACCCATGCCATTGGCACTAATACACACCCGTACCATGACCGACCCTGGCTTTTGAACTTTATGCCGGTAACAATCTGGATGGTCCTTTACTTCTTTGGCCCAGATAACACAACTGACAAGAGTTTTTCATTAGAGAGGCAGGTCAGTTTTTATTGCAGCACTGTCTAAGCGGTCCAAGGTCACAGGAGCTCAATATTGGTTTCTGGTCTTTCCCTTAATGCACAGAGATTTCTCATGTTATAATAATGTTATGAACTGTAGATTGTGAAATCCCTAAATGCCTTGCAGTCATCTGTTGTTCTTAATCTGTTGGACTTCTTGCTCATAGTTTTTCACAAAGTGGTGAACTCTGACACCTCCTTCCTCAGAAATGAATGAGCCTTTCTCCTTTTCTACCCGAGCATGATAGCACCGTTACCTCTTCACCTGTTTACGGTGCAAAAGTTCCAAAACATTTGT